CAAAACGGTAGCCGCGGGTCGCCGTGTAAACAACCAGCTCACGGGCCCTCCCTCTGCATCGTCTCCTCACCCGGAGCAGGAAAATAATGAGTCGTTAGCGAGAACCACTCGACGAGCCCGCGCGATACCGAGCCAGATCTAGAAACGACGGCCACGATCCAGCGACGACGATCAGAGAGCATTCTACGGGCCTTGTGAACCTATTCGGTTTTTTTTTTGTTACAGAGGCCTAATCGTTTCGACGAATTCACTGATACGGCAGAGGAACTGATAGGGTAAGTGTAGGTATTACAGTAATGTAATCTCTAAGTGACGCTCAGATTGTGCAGAAAAATGGACAATTTGGGAAGAGCAGATGCGATTATTCGAGTCTTAAGCATCGTTTTTATAGTTGTCGAGAATCGGTGATTATAAGAACAAGGCGCAAGACTCAAATTAATCGTATCTCGTATTATAGTATTGTAAAAATACTTTCGTGGCAAATGATTGCATGAAGAATATTATTGAAGCAATTGATATTTTGCATTAACTGTGCAAAGGTTAAATAAGTTTGAACTTTTCATTTTTACGAGGCAATGCAATCAGTATAGCGATAATTATCAGAAATTAGAGAGTTGATTAGCAATATCTATTATTTCGGGACCAAGCGGACCCGAGCTCCGCCATCGCAGTGCTAGTACGATCAGAATTCATTCCACCATCGAGTTTGCATCGTCGAATTTGAATTGTCGAATTTGCACTGTCGAGTTTGCATCGTGGAGTTTGCGTCGTCAAGTTTGAATTGCCGAATTTGAATTGTCGAGTTTGCATTGTCGGATTTGAATTGCCGAATTTGCGTCGTCGAACTTGAATTGTCGAATTTGCATCGTCGAACTTGAATTGTCGAATTTGCATCGTCGAACTTGAATTGTTGAATTTGCATCGTCGAACTTGAATTGTCGAATTTGCATCGTCGAACTTGAATTGTCGAATTTGCATCGTCGAATTTGAATTGTCGAGTTTGCATCGTGGAATTTGAGTTGTCGAATTTGAATTATCGAATTTGAATTGCCGAATTTGCACTGTCGAATTTGAATCGTCGAATTTGAATTGCCGAATTTGCACTGTCGAATTTGAATTGACGAATTTGAATTGCCGAATTTGAATTGCCGAATTTGAATTGTCGAACTTGAATTGTCGAATTTGCATCGTCGAACTTGAATTGTCGAATTTGAATCGTCGAATTTGAATTGTCGAATTTGCATCGTCGAATTTGCATTATCGAATTAGCGTCGTCGAGTTTGCGTCATCGAATCCGCATTGTCGAACTTGCGTCGAAGCCTGCTCGAAAGATTGGATAACCAGAGAACGGAGAAAGCGTGAAAATCGAGCGGCGAAGGTACCGGGAGCGTGACAAGAAAGCTGGTAGCCCGAGAAATCGAACAGATTGTTCTTTAAGCGACGCCTAAACGCCGGCGGAACAGCTCGCCTTGAGGCTCGCCGCTTCGACCGGTCGGGAACAGTTTCCGATTGTGTTCGGGTCGAAAAGCGTTCCCGAAGTCCTGCCTCAAGGATTTTTCGGCTCGTCGTTCCGCGGGCTCGAAGGAAGAAAGACGGGTCGAGATTTATGAGCTATTACGTCTATACAGGGCAACTGGCAAAGCCTTCGGGCATCTGGCGCCGGCCCGTTTGACGGATTTTGTAAAGCGCTAATTGGCTCCGGCGCGACTCTTAATGGGATCGGGAAGCTCGCTAAACGATTCGCTAAGCTCGCGCGTCGATTCGGTGACGCTCGCTACGAGGATCGTCATTCGAGATCGTCGCCATTTGATCGAATCGCTTTTCTGAAAATATAATGGCAAAGAAATTCGCGAGTAGGGGGCGAAAGGGGCGCCACCCTTAAGATATCGCGTCATTTGCAAGCGTCGTTACAAGTCTATTAATTTACCATGATTTAAATGATAAAAATCGAGTATACGCATTTATTCGATAAACGCGTTTCGTTGGGCAAATATGCGTTACGATTAAAATCGAGAAAAATCGCGAGACATTTTTGGGACACCCTGGGTGGTGGTGCTTGTTATCTTTACGAAGAATCGTAGTCCGAACAATTCGTTCGAGCGTAAATGAGATCGCCGTCGCTGTCGAGATATTTTTTCAAGGAATTGATCTTCGATACGCGGAGGACTATTTTACGGAAAACTGCTCGTGCAATAAATCGTTAATTGCCGGAACGGCGAACGGTAAATTCTGCACGCGCAGGCAGCTAGAAAATGGCGGATTCGCGACGCACCTATCGATCGCGATGGCGTCGCCCCTCCGTCGGCGCCGGCGTACGACAGATCATGTTCCTCTGAAAGGACCCTTCTTGTAATTCTGTACGAGCACGAGAACGAGGAACCTCGAGGAACACGAATTATTTACAAATATATCGATCGCCGATACCGTGAAAAATGGCCTGCACCCTTGGTCTCCATTGTCGTCGCTCGCTGGCCAATCTTTTTTTATCGTCGCGTGACCATTCGTTTATTTCTAATGTTTATTTTTCATCGCAGTCTCGTTTACTGCTATCCGACAGTTTTAGCGAGAGCGAGGACATCCTTATGAATTAATAATAATAAAATTGTGAATATTCTAAATATTATGAATATTAGGAATATGATAGAATATTATGAATATTAGGAATATGATAGAATATTATAAATATTAGGAATATGATAGAATATTATAAATATTATGAATATGGTAGAATATTATGAATATGGTAGAATATTATGAATATGATAGAATATTATGAATATGATAGAATATTATAAATATTATGAATATGATAGAATATTATAAATATTATGAATATGGTAAAATATTATAAATATTATGAATGATAGAATATTATAAATATTATAGAATATTATAAATATCACGAATATTATACATTTCATAAATACTACAAATATCATAGATTATAAATGATAATAAAACAATAATAAACAATAAGACTGTACTAATTGATGGAGACATTTTGTTTGTGCGAGTGAGACGAACCGCCTCGACTTCTTCCAAAGTCGGCGACGAGTTTCCCGACGGTCTCTCTGCGAACAAGACGGCCGGACCCCCGGGGACCGACAAAATTTGGGGCCGGATGCGTCTCCCGTTCCGGCGAGAACGCCGACACGGTGACACTATTGTCCGCCTTGTAGAAACTGATACTAAATTGTCCGCGGGGGTGACCCGACGTCCCGGGACATACGATGCCAAGGACACCGAACACGAAGACCAGCGGCCAGACCCCGGGCCCGTTTAACGATCTCCGTCATTTGTCAGCTCGCAATCGATCAATTAGAGTCACAAACGCCGCTACTTATCTGCCGACACGGCTCTAACAAAAGCCGCCCAACAATTGATACGACCGATTCCGTTCGCTTCGACCTTTGTCGAGATTTTCTGAGGCTTCGTAGTAGCGGTTGTTCGCTTTTTGTTTATGCTCGAACGTTCTATTGGGTTGGCAACTAAGTAATTGCCGATTTCAATTATAGATGCGCCCTCACTCCCATTTTTATGATATCCGTGAATGTTATATTATAAAATTATTATTATTATTATTATGTTATTTTGTATTATCCGTGAATGTTAGCAACTGGACAAATTGAATGCAGCGGTCAAGGAAAAGCGACCAGAATTGGTCGATCGTAAAGGTGTCATTTTCCAGCAGGACAATGCTAGGCCGCACGCGTCTTTGTCCACTCGGCAAAAATTGATGGATATTGCTTGGGAATCGATGTTACACCCACCGTATAGCCCTGATCTCGCGCCATCGGATTACCACTTATTTCGATCCCTGGACAACTCCCTTCGTGGTAAAACTTTTAACGACGACGACGCTGTAAAATCTCACTTAACTCAGTTTCTGGCCGAAAAGGATCAGACTTTCGACGAGCGTGGAATTTTCAAGTTGTCAGAGAGATGGCAAAAGGTCATCGAACAAAATGGAAAATACATTACGGATTAAACTTCGTTCCAAGTAAAAAAAACATTTTTATCTCATTGAACAAATCGGCAATTACCTAGTTGCAAACCCAATACTTAAATTGTACTTTTGATACGGCATCCACGATATTCAACGTTCCGAATTCGCAGTTCGGTAATCGAGTGTTGTTATTCGAATGTTCCATTAACCGAACAGCGTTGTTCTCCGGCAATATTTATAAACTCTGCGCGTAAGTACAATGTTCCGCGTTCGACTGAGAATGTACGTTAAACAAGTTCGCAGCAAGCTGACAGCGTTTACTATCGCGATGCGAGCAACGCGAAAACTATATAGTTCTAAATATCGGAATTAAATGCGAGATAATGAGATTATTCAATAATGAAATGACGAAATAAAGGAATTACTTCACGATGAAATAACGAAAGAAAGAAATAAAGCTTAATAAATCCAAAAAATGACGACAAGGATGTCGCATTATTTCGATGGTTTTGACAAGATAGGAGTCAAAAGATAGCAATCGAAAAAAATATAGAATATGATATCCATAAATGCGTAAATAAACTGTTAATTTTCGTTAACAATACAAGTTTCTCCCCGAAGGAATAAAATCGCTTTCGATTCAAAATTCAAGTTCTCATTCGAATAAACGAAATCCAATGTAAAAAGAAATTGTTTACTCCGTTATCCTAAATGGAACAATTTTGTTTCCCTGTTATCTCAGATACGGACGCGTGTATGTCGTTCAATTTCAAATGCGACATCCACTCGTTTATTTTGAATGTGGTTCATTTTTCTTTGTTTAAATGGGATATCGCATAATTCGCGATTAATTTAGCGTAACGTTTTTACGCGCAACTAAAAAGAAGATGGACTTGCATCATTTTCAAAATGAACGTTGTTATAGTACTCGAACATTCTTTAACTCGAATTGCATTTTCACGGATCAAGAAATGATTCGGCGCCTTAACTAATTACCAATGCGCTCGCCGCGGGCGATTTTTGACGATAAAATTTTACAAAACCAGCGACTTACCTTCCCACAGTCCTTCTCGAAGTCGCAATCGCTGGCATCGACCGCATAATTCCCGGATGCGCTACCAAAAACGAGTTGCAGATTGGTGCCGGTCGCTGCGAAAGCGATCTCGGTGTGGCCCTCTCGGCAGCCATTTTGAAAGCGTACCCGACGTTCTTCGACCGGTCTGTCCCGGAAACCGGTGTATCGGACCTGTAAAAACAACGATGCGTTCAACGATAAAACTCGATCAACTTCCTTCTTATTCATCTGAAATTATTATCCGAGCTGTCCATTATGATCGACAAATCGCAGAGATCGTCGATCGGAAACCGATCGATCAGCGGGAAAAAGTCGACTTGGGGGGAGCAGCGGGGGAGGACAATGAACGAGAGAAAAATGATTGTCGGGAATTATTTATAAATGGTTGTCGCTGCTGCGATTGTTTCATAAGCGACGGAAAACCCGCGTCTCTAATTGCTCGATGACGCTCGCGTTCATTCTGTTCTTGATTTCCTTAAACGAGAATTTAATGGTAATCACCGAGCAATTCAGATAAACATTGGCCGCTATCGTTTGTATACAAAGCGACGTACCGGCGCTCGTTGTAAGAACAATAACGATTTTATTGCGAGCGCGAAAGCGTTTGACAACATTCGCGTCGTCCTCGATTCGTTATCATTCATCGTTCGATCCAGGCGCGATTAATTCCTCCTGATTTTCCGTTAGCTTGCGAACAATAATTGATCATTTGGGAAGGGGAGGCATGGTTTTATTCGCGGCTCATTTTTACAGCGGCCGGTTGTCAACAATTATAAACATAAGTCGCGAGGCTCGAATAATCTTATCAAATTCTTATCAATTGTTCGCTTCTGTTTATTTATTAAATTGAAGGAAAATTGATACTTTGGGAAGATTATTCAACAACAATTCAATAGCAATTATCTTCTCGTTCCAAATTGTCCACTTCAGTTTACAAGCTGAAGGACAATTGGGGAGAATTTACTGTTACAATAATTTCTCCCTAATTCGCGCTCAGATCGCGCACGAAAATTGATACTTTGGGAAGATTATTCAACAACAATTCAACAACAATTTAATAGCAATTATCTCCTCGTTCCAAATTGTCCACTTCAGTTTACAAGCTGAAGGACAATTGGGGAGAATTTACTGTTACAGTAATTTCTCCCTAATTCGCGCTCAGATCGCGCACGAAAATTGATACTTTGGGAAGATTATTCAACAATAATTCAATAGCAATTATCTCCTCGTTCCAAACTGTCCACTTCAGTTTACAAGCTGAAGGACAATTGGGGAGGATTTACTGTTACAGTAATTTCTCCCTAATTCGCGCTCAGATCGCGCACGAAAATGGACGATTTTAGAAGAGGAGACACAATTATTCGGCTCATTTTTATAGTTGTCGACAATTGGTAACTATAAAAATAATAATCGTATATAGAATATAACAATAAAACATATATAATAATAATGATATAATAATCGAATACCTCCCCTCCCCAAATTGCCCCCTTTCGTACCGCAATCTAAGCGCGAATTAGGGAGAAATCGCTACATTTCGATTCCATTGAACATGAAACGCTTGTCCAAAAATCGAAGGATCGTCGGACTTCGAGACTTCGGAGGAAAAAAAAAAGTTCGCGAATCGTCGAAAAGATGAATCGACGACTGGTCCCTCGAAGGCCCTACAAAACCAGCGAAAGATAACGCCTATAACCTCACCTCGCTCTCTCTGCTGAGCCTCCTGAAAAGCTCGTCGGTCTCGAACTTGCCCTTCTGATCGGGGACCACTCTGGGCACCTTGAACATAAACCTGGGCCGTCGCTGCTCGTAAAGGCCCATTCCGTCGAATGGCAATACGCTGACACCCAGTCCACCCGCCCCTCCGGCGTGCTCGCTCATGGTGTGCATCATGTTCGCAGCCTTTTTTTGGTACGCTTCTTCACTTCGTTCTGTATCAGGCGAAAACTGTGGCGTCGACACAAGAACCGGCCGAGAGAGGAGCACCGCGACTGACTGACAAGCTTGTGATATAACCTTGACAAGCTCTGGGAAACACTGCGAGAGAGACTGCGATGTCAGTAAACGGCGAACCGTGAGCAAACGAAACACTGCGTTAGAGCACACGAATTCCGCGCGTTCAACTGCGCCGAGCGGCGTCTCAGTGGAGACTAAGGACTCCGAATGCGGAGAACTCGGATATCCCTGAGTCCTGGCCCCGCGGCACGCCCATCGGACCGCCCACAGTTGCCCCCACCCGTCGCCCGGCCACGTTAAATCACGGGTACACTGTCACGTGGTGGATCGACCCATCGGCGAGAGGCCCGAACACCAGCGACCCGGTCCACGAGGTGACTCCGAAATTGCGTTATGTTCGCGTCCAGATTACCCGGCAGCTGCCGCGCGGCTCCTTTTCTCGGCCTTCGCTCGATAAAACCGCATTCTCACCGGATCATCAAGACGTCCGTTCTTTCCAGTTGGAACCACTCGTCGCGAAATACACAGCACTTTCCGCGGGAAAATAGGATTTTCTTGTCGTATCTCTTTTTTGTTTCGTCGCTCGGACCGACTGCAACTTGCGCTGAAATTTCTCGAATTATAGAAAAAGACAGAAATTAATTATTATTATTATTATAAATTCATAATATTGTAATTATAAATTTATAATATAATATAATATCATTACTATATTATTTATTATTTATTATATATTATATAAATATATATTATTATATATTTATAATATAATATGGTTAATATTATTATTATAAATTATTATAATTAATTATTATCATAAATTCGAAAAATTTCATCTGAAAGTATTCGTCTCGTTAGGATCGCCGAGAAGAGAGGAATTGTTTTCACGCAGCCAGAAAATTAGCGCCTCGCGAACGGTAATCACGAATTTAAAAATAAATAATCGCCTAATCGTGCTAACACGAGGGCAGTTCTCTCGTTGCTCGATGCACCAATTACCGTTCGATCAAGTCATACATTTATTTTGTTCTGTTTCTCTTTTTTCCATTTACTTCGTTCTTTCTCATTTATCTTTCCTGGTCGTTTTCTCACTTTTTTATTTCGAGCCCTCTCGACTGTTTTGCGAAAGCAAAAGCTATTGTTCGTCCCGAGCGGGAAGATGCGAACAATAAATTCTACCTAGCCGCGTAAGAAGTTATTTACGACTCGACCTACGGGTAGGAAACGGCAACTGAAAAAAAAACGACCAGCCTCGACTCTCGGTAGACTGAATTTCAATTTGATTTATTGCTGTGCGCGGGCTGTAGGAGTCGTTTCATGAAAAAGAAAATAATATAGACGAAGTTTCGGTGCTGAAACGATACGGAATGACCGACGAAACTTGTCCGGGGAGGGGGAGGGGAGGGATAAGATTAAAGTTAATTCGAAGATGAAGCATAAAATTAAGTTGTAAACTAATGACTAGTATGTTACAGGTTAATCCGGGTACGATGATCGTGCAATAAAATGCTGTCGCTTTTCGAATTAGCACAGAGAATTGGCCAATGATATGGTCGATCTTTTATACCGTCGACCATAATAATCGGAGAAAGTTAGTCCACCGTCCTTGGATGAAATTGTTCTATCCTATTCTCGTTCTTCTTCTATCCGGTTTTCCTCAAAACGGATTTACTTCCTTTTCAGGTTCGAAACAGCTCGATCACCAAAGGAAAATAGAATTGCAAAATAGAATTAATGTAATATAATGTAATATAATATATAATAATATAATATAATATAATCGTGGATGTTTATTATCGATTCGGTCACTGGATTATGTTGGTGAAACTCTTTTGTTGCTATTAATTTATTATTTTGCTAATATTAATGCAACCGTTATTGTGACTTACAAACGAGTAATCATTTGGTAAGAGATCTTCTTAGAATGAACACTATTGTACGATTTATTTATTAGTTTAATAATTTCGTGTCAAAATATTTCACTTAAAACTGTTAAATCCTCGATTAAATTGTAGAATAGAATCGTGTCGCTGTGGTTTCTCACGATTTTATTGTGTATTAACTAAAT